TCGTATGAATCAATAAGCTACTAGCTAGCTAATTTTACACAAAAAATATATTGGAAGTTTTTTTTTGCGTTAACTAATGAAATGGTTATTTCTAAATAAAAAAAATTATTATTTACATTAATTTTATGACTAACGAAGAGGGTTACTACGAAATTTATCATTGAATCATTCAATTATCAAGGCGAGGGAGGCAATTAACACTTCTCGTATTAATTCCACCTTTGATGATATCACGGATCATCGCCTCGGTGGATTGTTTTAACGCAGCTAATGGACTTTATACAAAGTCATTACAAAATGTAGTTTTCGGTATTCGGGTCTTTTTAGAAGTCAAGTCTTTTGTTCTCTTATGTTTTAAAGGTTTTTTTTATAATTTTTTGTTACGGTAAAAAAGCACATAAATTAGTCGGTTTTTTCAAGATTAATCATTTGACTTTTTATACTATGACGATAACTTAAACGTTGTTTAAAGTAATGATTAAATTCTTGGAACTTTGTCACTTATTTGGTAACACAACTTTTTGTTGTGATTACATTTAGCAATTACTATAAGGAAATATCTTATTTCTATTACTTCAGTTTTACTTAATATATACAGGGTATTTATACATTGACTTCAAAACAGTATATAAAAGCAATATTTATTAAGATGCCTAGCTTGCTGGCGCTTAATCGAAGACTTAACTTATAGTCATCTAATTTATATTGCAGGTAACATTTTACCCTCGAGCTAAGTTGGACAGTAGCAACATTTAGCCTTTCGTTGCTTTTATTACTTTGAACCATTAATAGTTAATAGACTTAGGAGTTAAAAATAAAAATAAATTATTTATCTTTCAACGTTTTGATTTGTTGTCATAGTTTATTGATTAAATTTTATATAAATTACTTAAATTTAATATACAATTTGAAGATGTTATATCTTTGTGCAGCAAATTTGGAAGAAGGGTATCATCTGAGCATTAGATATCAATGCATCATAAAGCTTATTATCGTATCTAAATAAATGAGAATATTAAAACAAACAAAAAAAAATCTGGAGAAAAACTCGTACACAAATTTCAGCTGACCGATAACACTATTATAACAATTGCAACTGAATGATAGGTTTTTTCTTCGAACTGTAAAAATTGTTTATGATACATAATTGACTTATAAAGCATGTTAGTATTAAAAAAATGGAATAATGTTTGTCCTGAAGCCTAAGGCTGCTTATCAAGAGAATCGCGTGCGCATGTCCGCAACGATCGATTTGTCATACAAGTTAATAGACGCCGACGGCAGTGACGGCAGTGCGCTACCAGCCGTCGTGAGCTTCGCACCGCGTATGCATCACCCAATGATTTATCTACTCATCATTTGTTAAGTCTTCATTAAGGAAAATTGTTCATATAGCAAAGAACAACACCAAACTGTCAATGCACAGAGAAACCTTTTAAATAAAAATCACAGTCAAAAATCATTTATTTTACACATCTTAATATTGGTATCATCAAGTTATTTGTATTGTTCTAAAATAATGTAGAAATTAAGATGTATAATTAAATTTCAAATTAGTCAACATGTAAAAGATAAAACATTGATATAGTACTCTGAATTTCTTATGAATGGAAAGTATGTGTAGCTCCTTGATGTTCCGGAAATGTTTGTTGTCGCTTCACCTCTGACCCAGCCGGTCTACATGTGCCGGGGCAGGTCGCATGGGAACCTCCTGTCTTATCTCGCCTTGTATCAGAGTGTCGCCTATTATCTAGGCCCGGCCACTTTCGACGCTTGTAGCACATCGACGCGTTGCGACCCGACTGCAAGTACAATGATCGATGCGCCCGCGCAGCCTTTGTGAGGTCCAGTTTTGATCTGACAAAAAAAATAACAATTAGAATACTGGATGCATATTTAATTAATGTGTTGCCAATTATTGTCTGAGGTTATCGACAACATAGTAACCAGATAACTAATCAGTTAGTGGATACTGCTAAATTTAAGATTTTTCGACCATTTCTTTATACCCGACTAATCGTTGGTTTCTGAGACCAAAACTTCTGTATAAAACATATTGTCGATTTTGGTCTCGGAAACCCACGATAAGTAAATTAGTAATAAACTTAATCATTTAGTAATTTAAGTTCATTTAGCATATGCAATAAATATTTAATAAATACTGTAAGGTAGTTAAAACTTTCGCAACAAATCGTATCATTGGTTATTATTAATGAGAAACGTCCGCGACGTGTGTATTTAATTAAAATTAACTTGGCAATTAACTCCCAACACAATTACTGCGCATTGCGCTTTAATCACACACTTAACATGTCAGGCGATGATAGCAGACTGGTAAACTTGATAGTTTATGAATTACAAAATTATACGCCTTGTTAATTTTTGCGAGATTTTGTCTTACGACTCAAGCATTTTATATCGGAAAGTGCAGTACCCTGGTTCCAACACTGCATATAAAAATACAGCGCTTTAAAGATGTTCCATTACGCGAATAACCCATTCAAATTAATAGTTACCAGGTAAAGAATGGATCTATTTTTAGGACTAACGTTTCATGATTTGTGATATAAATCCGCGAGCACGTCAGTATCGTAGTGGTTCTGACCTACCCCAAGTTAGATTGGTTAATAATTGCATGCGGTGTGCAGCTTCCCGTGGAGATAAATTTCCCAGTACCATCGGCCGTACGCTTGCATTTGCCGCATGAAAAATGCCCGGATTATAACTAGGGACCGATCCAACGGTCAGATAACGCTAGATATAAATTATTATACAAACGCATGACCACACTAAAATTAAATAAGAAACCATATTATTCTCGAAGCTTCGATCCCGCCCGTGCCGTAAAATACAAAATTTTGACAGGATTTAAAAATAACGACATCCGTGTATCAGGAAATGCTTTGAATCTTTTTTTTTTACTTTCTTAGTTACTCATATGTCAATTGAATTGTTCGTGTAGTTACAATGCAGCTATTTGTTTTACGAACAAGAAAAACTACTGAAAAAATTAAAAGTTACCAATTCGACGGGAACTGACATTTTCTTCTCGATTGCTAGTCATTTTCTTCTTTTCAGTACTTTGCAACACAGAAAGCATGTCAACTTTTAACGTCTATACTGCATTTTATGCATGATTAAATGAAAACTGAATAGAAAGTGTTACAATCTTTTAGTTGATTACATCTAATCTATCAGCAAAGGAGCAATTACAATCGAACGCTCAGCCAACTATAAAATATCAAAATTAATCTGTCACGTAAAATAAATGGTATCTATGGTAATAATCTAAGATTTAAACTCCTGTGGAATCGTCCTCTAATTAATCCACGGACTTCCTTGCGTGGTTTTCAATGAGAGTCATAAAATATTTCGTCGATTTTGTCGATAAAACATTTTTATATTCAGTAATGTGATTATTCAAGTGGTTACAGTCACGCTACCTCTCGGATGCTTATGGAATCTTTATATGGACATTGTGAGGTATGGCGTTAAGCCAGGTTAATTCGATGACAATATTGAATTATATATATATTGTCGGTGTTAATCTTATAAAGGGATGACGAGTTTCTATTCAAATCATAGCTTTTAATACCACATATGTTAGTTTGAACTTTCTCTGTAAAAGTTTATAGGCAGCTTTACTTTTATCATTTAAAAAAAATTACCAACTTTGTAATTTAGTAGCTAACGAATCTTGGCATTAAGTTTTGCATCGGAATCAACATTCTAGATGTTATAAAATATTTAGCAATAATTCTAAAAATAGATAATTGATAAAATATGTTCTTCATGAAATTTATAAGATATCAAAAGCTGTGACCATAAAAGTAGTTGTAAAATATTTATGCTGTTAAAATGTTAATGTTGTTCTAACACATAGGCGAGTGTGTAGGAATACGTATTTGAAGTTAGTTGAATCGTGACTTTATGCATAATTAAATTGTTGACTCTCTGGCGCCATACGTCGCGGATAGTTTCGCATTGTAAATCTTATTGGAGTGAATATTTAAATTCTTATGAACTGTTTGAATGTGATGTTTGCTAGAGCTCTTTTGAAATCCGTTTAATTTACTGTTTCACGGACAATTTTGGATTTGACAAACGAGCCGATTCTACGTAACGGTTTTTTTATTAAGTTTTTTTTTTCGGAAATGTTAGCAATGAGAACATATTACTGATAACTATTTTAGACCTCGAAACTCGAAAATGATAAAAATAACATTTTCAAGATTTTATCTGTTTCTGTTATGAAATCTGGTGTTCACATTACATTTGTTTAAAAATGTTAAATTGGAATTTAAACAGAAGCTACAAATGAAATAGACATTTTAGACCACCCTTGTTGGGTTTAAAAAGTATGCCAGCGATGTGATCGCAGGGGTGTTGGCGCCATCGGCGGGCGAATCTTGTGTTGCGGTAGTTATGACTTATGACGACAACAAACATATTTCACCAATTCCGGCCCCTCTGGTCGTCGACAGAAATGCCTCGTAATGTCGGTACGCCCACAGATCATGCGGTTCTAGGTGTAAAAAAATCGATTAAGGCACGACGACACGCTGCGTTCGATACATGATAATATTTCATTTGATTCGTGACAGGCGAACTTGGGATTTTTATATTTTTGTGAAATTCAATTAAATGTTACGGCGGAATAACTGTGACGTATCATTTTACATCGCCGCCGATGTTTTTATAGCTTGTATTGGCTGCGAGACTGTTGTCGGAGCGCGGAATGCAATAAAATTACAATGCTAATAGCTAATTTTTAGTGTCTGATACTACACATTAGATTTGTACATTATCTCTAAGTAGTTGTAGCATTATCATTTCTTATATTCACAACAATCCAACGTCAAACTACAGAAACGAAATGATAGTCGATTGAAACCATTCTTACTTATGAGAAATGGGGCAAGGATGATGCATTTTTATGTTTCGTTAAGATTAGCAAATGTAATTTTAGATTAACTTATGCATGTTTCTTTTGTTTGCAGATTTATGAATGCTCTGGATGGATTTCTGGAAGAGAACAATAGTAAGTTAAATATACTAGTCGCATTACTTTCATGGCTTCTATTTGTTGGACGGTTCATCTGCTGTTAAGTATCCAGTATCCACAGCGATCAAACAATCGTTTCATATAGTTACGAAGAAAGTCAACCCTTGTGTAGATAAGAGAAATAGAGTAGCAAAATGGATTATTAATGAAGTGATGGACAGTCACAATGACGTATTTCAGCCTTCGTTTTGGTTTTAGCGTATTAAGTGATGGTAAATAGTTTTTCTGCGCTATGTATTTTTTAATTGGCGATAGTAAAAAATCGATATTGCCTAATATTATTGATTTACAGTTCGTTATTGAGTGTTTACGTAAATCTCACTTTACTATATTAGTAAAGCGTGGGTAAAACTCTTGCGGTCGAGGTGTTAATGCGTACTCATTGCCTAATTGTATTCCTTTACGAGATCGCCATTTAAGTATCGTGAGCGTTGTATTTATGGTCACTTAACGTCTAAATGTTTGCCAGTATAAACGCGCACAATCACATCACAAAGGAAATAAATAATATTTACAATTTGTTCTGTACTCAATATTATATTTCCATGGTTTTTTGTAACTATTTTAGACCCGGATTTAGATTCTATAAATTTTGGTCTAGACTTTATCTTAGACAAAGGCAAGGAACGAAAATTGACTGACTCTTTAATGGAATTATTTTCTATCAACATGTGAAGTGTATCAACCAAATTTTATTGACGTCCATATGTTCAATTACGTCACAATTCGCAGCGTCAACAGCTTGTGTCAACGCGTCAACGGATCGATGTTGAGAGCTTATCACTGTCAGTGCACACAACATACGATTTCAATTAAAGATTTTTCGTTTCTAACGAGAAATGAGCCGCGTGTTAACACGTATTGACCCGCGGCTATCCATTCGAACCGATTCCGTCGCTTAATTTCGAGAATGTGGTGACGTGAGGGGGAGGTCAAGTGAGACTGGACGTTTGTAAGTCGTAGCGATCAAAACGGTCCGGGCCGCACGTCGGATTTTATCGGCAGCTACACTTTTAATTACATTGACACAAATCGAAGTTATCGACTGACTTCTCACGGTGCCGAACTCAATATTCCGAATGTTCATTAAGTTCTAATTACGATTGGTCGCCCTTGTTTGTCTTGACCGGCGGAACTAGCTTTTATTAGATTACGTGGGTAGTTTTCAATTAATCGTGAGCATACTGGTATCTGTCGGCGCTTTCCTTGCTAACGGCCGGTTATCGGTGTCGTGGAGTAGATTGAGTGAGATGTATATTATGTGCGACTGGTTCTCCTGCTCTAGCTCCAGTGTATTAACGAAATGGGCATAATGTTATTCGATTAATATTAAATACAGTATTGTTGTTAAAATACACATATTCCCATGATTATTTTATGTATCAAATTGAAAAGACTGCCTCGACTCGACCTATTGTTATTTTTACTATATCTGTAAAAGTTAAAAACGTATGAGCTTGGTATTTTCATAAGCAATTCTTGCATATTGTGTATGGGGCTTAAGCGTGAGTGCCGCTGCCGCTGCGCACCGCTGTAATGCGACGATATTCATATTTCTCTTGCTATCTCGCTGGGGATCGCACCCGTGTCCTGATTTACTTGATATCGCACGCGCAGTTGCGGCCCGACACTAGCTACTGTTTATACCGCCAAGGGTGGTCTTTGAAGTTAAAGTCCATGTGCGCTTCTCAGCCCTTTCCTATTTATTAAGTCGCTCTACGAACTCTATAATACAAATAATACTTATTAACTATGAAATAAATATAATGTGGTCAATTTACGTTTATTACAAACAGAAGCAGTAAAGTCTTGAAATATGTTAGAAGTGAAGATATTTGACATAGCCAGCGGAGGTTGTCACACTCGGCATTGCGGGAATGACAAATGAACTACAGTCCCGTTACGGACAGATGACTTGCCACTTCACCGATGATGCTGTAATACGAGCCAATATAAATTTTATGGACACTGTTTGTCAAATATTTGTTTTGTTGAGCTGTCGTGTAACGTTTTATTTTAGAGTCTTTTATCGCGTCCCAGTCGCGTTCCCACGTTCCACTTGGAGCAGCTCGTAAGTATCGCAACGTTTGAGTCACATTCGATGCCATAGAACTCCGCTATTTTCATTTGAAAATATCGTACTGACGTCATACAGAAATGAACTCACATTAAATTTGGTCGATAAGTCTGTTCACTTACGCTTTAAAAATATGGTTTCTTTAGAAACATATTGGGACATTGCGAGATAGCCAAGGACAAAGTTGCACTTTTGCACTGAAGGCAATACTGCAACAAATATCGCTGAATGAGGCGCCATGTCTGGTGTAGATAGCGGTGTGCAATGTATGGTTTAATAAATAACATTATTCGTTACTTAAATAGTTCAATTTTAGTTCAGTAAACTAGATATTGTTCATCATGTCTTAATATACGTTGTAAGCACATGTTATGTTTTTTATTCAGTAAAAGAAACAACTTCGTTATAGTTTTTTAAATTATTCTAAAAATCCGTATCTGTAATCAAGCTTGGAATTGAATTAGATGAATAGAAAACAATTTCCAGTTTCAAATTACCATCAGCGGAGTAAAACAAGATGGGTTGCGACTGTAATTTTTAAACAGGCAATCAGTCAAAATCTGTATCGGCCCACGCGTGGCGCTAACAGAATGCGGTAACACGAGCCCAGTGCTGGAGTGCGACAGGTACCAACTCACATTATCGTCCATCGCTCGTTCTTACATAATATATTTTACTACCTTATAAATTACTCGTTCTCTCAAAAGGTTATAAATACGCACTCATTATTTGCTCTATGATTTAAGTTACATACGTGTCAAGGTGTATCCCTTAGAGCAGCGGTAACATTGACTATAGAGCTTTGATAGCCTAGCACCTACTCGTATATTATAATATCGTATATAATCAGTGACCAATGGCCTAGTTTTGTCTGAGTAAAAAAACTTGCCAGCCAGAGTTGAAGGGTTAGAAAATGCTTGTCTATGAACTACAATAAAACAGTGCCTATGTCGCTTATCGTAATAAAGTCTTACATTAACCTTAATTCGCAGAAACGGAAACATCTATCAGCAAAATCTTAATAGAATTTAATATCCGTTTCTGTTTTCCTTAACTGAAGATGTTTTCTTTGAAATTTGTGTTTCTTAAAACCACTTACTTCAACAAACATGGTGATGCTTATATAACTACGTAAGAATAAAATAATATTTTGGAATAACAAATAAGATGACACGATTTTATTGATGTATTCTATATCGAACCCTAGAAGACGAATAGTTATGACTATCGGAGTAATGAAATATTTTTAGTTTTTGACCACTTATAGATTTGACGTTGATGTAGCGCCGTCAAAGTTAAAAAAAGTAATTGTCTAAAGTTTTTTATCAAGTTATTGATAAGTATTAATATTCAAAATATTGGGCTTATGTTCCCTATACTGTATTTAATCACAATGTTATTTAAAATTCTATTTGTGTTTATCTCTACTGTATGGACGTAAGACAGTCTTATGACTAGCCGTATCGATATTGAACGGATTCGCTGATCAATTGTCGACAATCGATACATAGTGATCGGTGAATCGATATCGATACTCCCGCCTACGCCCGGCCCTATTACATCGTAATCACCAGATTAGGATCTACCTCACGCATTTGCCTACAAGATAACTAGCATAAAGAGCATTTGTTGTGAATCATCTTCATTGTTGCAGTTTTGCTCATTTTAATTTTTATCTTACATTTTTAAAAGATGACACAAAAAGATAAGTATTACATCACGCGACATTATTAAAATGAATTGTCAACGTTTAGTTTAGATTTTAATTGGGTTTTATAGTAAGTATCATTGTGTTCTTAAATTAGAGACCCTGAATATATTCAGATTTATAAACGATGCTTACATCGCTATTTTGTAAGAAGAGTTAATAAAATGTCAAGCAATAGATAGCACCGTAAAAAAGTTTACCTAATTTCTTGGTGATGCGATTGTGATTCAGTTTTATTATACAAAAATGTTTAAAATTTTTAAAATCGATCCTCCAAGTGAAGTTATCATATTATTGTTTGCTTGTGTAATTGAAAACGGACTCTCTAATTAAGTTTGCGGGTAGGTGAAACCACCCAGAGCGTCTTGATGGATTGTTGCAAATGAAAATCTTCTGGCCGCACTCAGAGCCGGCATAAATCTGCATGTGTAAATGCAAATGTATTGCCGTTTGTACGCAGGTACCTCGTGGGAATATCGTATTGATTGCCTTTTATTAGCAGTCGAAGATAATCTTCAGTGTTAGGATAAAACATACAACGAATAGCTCTAGGTGAAAAAAGATGATTTTATCAACCTCTTAAATCTATTAAAGAAAATTGTGTACAATAATATATTTACATTTATTTTCATTAAAAATTATTTACAATATGTAAGTCATGTCTTTATTACTGTTCATGTAATATTTTTATAAATTTCGTTGCCCTGGGTGCATCTTTCTAAGTACTTCAAAGGACTTCCTGAGGAAGTGTCAAACCGCGGGCCTCGACTTCCGCCTCACCCTGTCGTCCACCCCGCCTTGGGGTAAGGGGTTGCAGTCAACGACCCCCGCGCGATGTTTGCGGTGCGATTGTGAAGACACAAACAACGAGTTTTTGGTTTATTTTTCGCGGACCGTTTAGTCGATCGATCGTTGTTCACTTTGTTATTTGTGTTGTTGACGCAACGTGAGAGCAAAAATACGAAAGTATATTACCGGAGATGTTATCGTCTAGTACTTTATAAATATTAAGACTATCTTTGAAATAAACTATAAATTTATACATGATTACAAATTATTTCTAAACATTCTTACAACTAACAAACTACACATGTTTAGATCTCTATCAAAGCCACATTTTAATACTTATTCTTCTATTTTTAATAACGCCATGATTAGTCAGGGGGAAATACAAAAGACAAACTTCAGTACTCATATTTGTATTGAAATTAGCTTTATAACGATGTGTAATATTAATATTCGTCTGCAGAATGCTTGGTCGGTGTCCACTGCACGCACGGTCTGAACCGGACTGGGTACATGGTGTGTCGGTATATGAGGGACCGCCTTGGAGTGCCGGCCGCAGAAGCCATTAGGCGTAAGTAACGCTGTTTCTGTAAAAAAAAATGAATTTTAATTTTCTTATTTTAGAAGTAAATGGTGTTAAAATCAAGGTTTAACATTAGAAATAAGGTATTCTTTTTTACTACAGAGATATTTGTATATTTCTATTTGTGTATGTAACGAATTAATTCAAAAACTACTGGACAAATATACTTATTATATTAGAAAGTTATAGTATCACTGAGTAATAAAAGCTTAATTTATTACTAGAATAATCTGCATGTAATCCATATAAATATAAATAATTCCGCGCGGAATAAGACGGAGGACAAAAGCTCGACATTTAATAAAAGGGAAATGATTTTGATTGTAAATGTAAAATCAGGACATTTTTTTTTTAATTTGTACTTTTTACAGGTTTTGAATTAGCACGAGGTTATCATATTGAAAGGGATAACTATATCGCTGATTTGCTCGGAAAAACTCCACCGCCACCTGATGAAGGCTGTGAAACTATTGTAAAACCAATTAAACAAGAGGAAAATGATGAAAAAATTACTTGTGAAGAAAAAGAGGGAATAAATCACAAGAGGAAACACGAAGAAAAGACGAACATACACAAAAATACTAAAAAGAAAAAACATAAAAGAAAGAAATATAAATCAAATAGTTCAAGTATGGATAAATCAGATAGGTCATACGATTTTAAGTATGATTATTGAATGCTTTTGCTTGTAAATGAATTTATTTTTACTTTAAGTAAAACAACAAAATATAGTACAAGCCCTTCTAAAGTTTTCATTCATTCCATTTGAACTAAATTCATGTTAAGCCTCTTCCTTAATAACCAATAAACAAATCTGAGTGTGATAGTAAAATCAATACTGCCCATTGAATAAACGATTTGGATTTTTTTTTTCAATAAAATATGTGTTTTTCATTTATTTTCCGCTATGTTAAAAAAATGTGTTCTCGGTGCTCCATATTGCTCAGAAGCATTGACATAGTTCATGAGAAAAAATCTAATTACGTTGGTGTAGTCACGTATGGTTATGTGAACTGCGCACGTGGGTGATGATATCGCGCTTAGAGATTGGGTGCCCGATGCCTATTGACGGCGAGACATTTTTAACGCGCCGCCTGCTTGACGACAAAATCAGGGATGACAATTTTTCGTAGTAGAAACTCTAGATGTAGTGTCAAATTCAACGTACAAACCCAGTTTAGTTAGTCTCATGATATAAATACTTATAAATAAGTCAAATATAAATTAGCCTTAGTTCTGTATTTCTGAAACAGTGACCAGTTCGCTGTTAAATTTTGTAGGATTTAAATTTTCTTTATGTTGTCTTATACTCAACGCAGATAAACCCATTAGCTAAAAAATAAATTGTGTATTTTGGAAAATATTGAAGTTATTTGAAGATTTTTAGATTGTGAAACTAATAAAATGTAATAAGATAAATTCAGCGATTTATTTTTTAATTGAATGAGTAATAAAGTTGATTTCTTCTCTTGTTCCGATGCAGTTAAGATTGCGCTTACGAAATATTTCGTGGAAGAATTTGTGTTCCATATATTGAGATAATTGCCTTGAGTTGTTGACATATTTTGGAAGAAAGGACAAACAAGCGGCAGCTTATCTTTTGTTATGTAGCTACTTGTGGAGGTAAAAACGAAAAATTATCCTTAAATATAACATTTGTGGGATCTTAGACATTGTTTTTAAGGAATATAGTGACAGGTAATTATTTTAAAATTCGATAGTCCTTGTCACGTTGATATTAATTACCGGAGATGAAAAATAAATTTAAATTTAATTGTTTTTTCTTTGAATCTACGCTTTATTACTGGAATTATTAAATGATAATATTAGTAAGATTTCCTACTGATCTAGATAACGTATTACGATATCAAAAATACGTCACCAACCTTTTTTAGTATCAATGACTTTTATTGCGACCGAACGAAGGATGTCAAATAGTTTTCGGGTGCAAAAGATAAGAATTTGATAGTGAACGTGCGCCATCGTAATTTACTGACACCTACAAATAAATCAAGACTGAGATGCGGCAGCGGCAGGTACACACAAAGTCGCTACGGTTTCGTTCCATTTCCACGAACTTTAGTGTTTTATGTAACAGAAAACTGACTTATTCACTGATGTTCTATGCGTAACGTTCTTCGATATATTTTCGAAGTATTGCGGACGCGTCGATAGCGTTCTATGTCTTTTGATTTATCTGTTGTCGATACACGGTAGCTTTCCTACTCTACGACTACGGTACTCGCGTTTATCGCTTCATTGTTTGCCTCCGAGCACTAAGCTTGAGTAATTTACTCGTAACCGATGTGTTGTGCTGTTTTAGTGTTCGTATAGAAATGGGCAGCAATTTATTCGACTTTGATCTTCTATTGTTAAAGATAAAATGCTCCGAAGAATAATGCACACCATTTTTATCGTTGGCTTACAAAATATGTTTTAAAGTAAACCTATTTGTTATGTGTTCTATTCAAAGCGTTTTGCTATCATAAAAGAGTTATTTGTTATTTTATAGAAATCATGGGGAAAGTTAATCGAATTTACAATTAGAAAATGAGACTTAGAAAACGGGTCCTGGAAAATTATTAAGTTAAACAAGAATAAGTAATTCTTTGTCATTTAAGCTTAAAGCATTAGTTTGAAACTGGCATGTTTCTTCAAAAAAAACGGTAGCCACCAGAAAAAAAATAATTGAATGTTTCATAATCCGCTGATTGTTGCGCGATAAAAATTATGAATGGACGGCCAAAACGATCGTAAAATAAATAATTTCGTTAAGATTTTCCTTGGATTTTTGCAAAGGGAATGTAAAACTTAAATCCGACAGTTTTGAATGGGCCTCATCAATAAAGCCGCACGCCGCTGTTATCTCGCAGCCTGGAGAACGTAAAGTAGGTCCACTTTGTTTGTTACTAATAAAATTTAACATCTTAACTGTCGTTATCTCATATTTTTGTTTCGAATCTTAACTACCTGGCTTCCGTCAAGGCGTGTACCTTTAAGTCCTTTGCCTTGACTGACATGGACGACTATTTAATTTATGTCCATTACCTTTGAGCCGTTTTATTTTAATGCGCTCGTTTGGTTCGGTGACAGTTGGTGACGCTTCGGGCGCCATTTTGATCATTATCGGATCGCTGGGCGTTAAAATGGTATGTCGGTAGGTCAGTTATATTGTTATTTTCTTAATTAAAACTATTTAATTAATAGTGTTTATTTCAGGGATCGGAAGAGGAGGATAGCGGTGAATGCAACGAATTGCCGAACGTCAGGGATAATTTGATGAAGATGTTAAATGATTTATTTATAGCAAATTGATTTTAATTAGTCATTAATAGAGAGAACATATAAAAGAGGAAGAAAGAGAAAAGTTTCAAGCAAATACCACTTTACAAGTTTCCGCGTCAAACTATACTTATTATCTAGTTGCCCGCGAGACATGTTCCCAATTAAAAATGTTCGTAGTTGTATAGGAATTTACTAAATGATAACTCAAGATGAACAATAAGACATATAAAAGATCATACTAGTTTTATTACCCGGCGGGGCGCGTACCGCTAACTAAATTGTAGCACTGGGTCATAATTTTAATTACATACGAGTCTCTTATCCCCAATATTAATAGCCGTTAGTAAGCTTTGATATATTCATGATAATTGTAGACATGAGATTTTATTGTGTTATCAGATATCTAAATTAGTTAGGGCGGATATTAGTAATTATTTAGTTAAGATGATAGCGTATCCTTTGTTTGTTTATTTCAGTAGTATTTTTATTTTGATCAAATTGTGTCAATGACCTCTATCAATCGATCTATTTATAACAAAAACGTACTTAATTTAATAAGATTTTTTTAGTATAATGATACAGATCTACAAAAATTATAATTACAACTTAATTTTGCACGCAAAGGCAGAAAATTTAATATTGTATAAAAATTAGATTTCGTTATCCGTGGATAGATCTTTTTTTTTTCAAAGCACTTTTAAAATAATTTAGAGAATAGGCTTAAGTAGAACAAACAACAATCAAATATTTTCTCTTTATATTATTAATGTAGATAACTGTAATAATATTTTATAGCATTTGAAATAATCGTTAGAACCCGTCTCTTGGACAATTTGTTTTAATTTCGATAGCTACAATGTCGTCACCGTGAATCCGCATTCTCTTATAAACAATCATTTAAAAACCTGCTACAAAAGATAAAATATAAACGCTTTATTGATTCGACAATTATATGATAATTTCTATATATGTGAAACCAGAATATATCCGGTTGTATATCATGACAAAAATCAATTGATAACCACTTATTCTTTGCCAATAAAAATAGTGTAAAAAGATACTGGCGCCGGAGCATCAAATATTATTTATCTTTTTATCTCTAAATTTAATAAATTAAGCAACACTGCATTAGGTGGATATTCTAAGCTTATTATCTCCTTTTCTGATTTCGTGTTTATAATAAAAATAAGGTGATAACGGTCGACTCATAAAAATTTTAATTTTAAGTAAAAAAATATTAGCTTAGTTTTTTATACAATTATTAAGATTTACTTGATTAGATTTGATAATTGACCACCATATTAGAATAAACAAACTCGTATACATGTTAGACATGAGTAGTGATTAGTAATGAGTCGAATCAATTAATGTTTTAAATATTTAAGACTTTAATTGCCTTATTACATTAACGCAATAAAATAACCGCTACTAAAGACATGTGTACATCGAATTACTAATAATTATTTATAATTTCTGTAGTACATTTACTATTACTACGACTTGTACGTTTTATTAGTTAAAATAAACAACTAAGATATCGGATCCGTTCAATTGTTAGAAACTTGTTTAATTTTATTGATGTATCAATTAAAGCTAATTATATTTTATTTTCCCGACTTTAGTATTCTCATAATTTTATTTTCTTATTAACACTTATGTCATTCCTGTTAATAGTTGTATGTAATTAAGTGTTCGGTATGTATACATAATATACATGTTAGTTAAAGATTTATTATAATTACATAGTTAATTGTTCTGTAATATTATATACTTCAGAGACAATTTAATTTATAAGTATAATGGTATGCTGCACGTGTTTGTTTAGAAGTTCAGTTTACGTATATAGGTAGCAAACAGAAGCAATGTTCACCTTGGCTGAAGTGATTAGATAAGCCTTGCACATCCGTAAAATGTGTAGTTATGGCCGTAGATTTCCATTATAGAAACATTAATGCTAAAATTTATCATCTCACTATTTCGTTTCGACTGTGGAAGCCTACGATTATTTGAAACAGACGCATAGAATATTTTGCGGGTAAGAAAAATGGGACTATAAGTAGACTTGGGTTCTTTGGTTCGTTATAACAGTATATACTAACTATTAACGTATATGTGAATATGAGGAATGTCTTTAAACGTCTTTGAGCACTGCGCAACTATGTATTAATTAACATCTTTGAGTACACAAACAATAAAAGTATCTACTACGACCTTAGATAATTAAATATGAATAGCAACACAAGTAATTTTCTTGTTTATTAAATATTATTTAGTAAAAAATTGTTGGTGTGGAGGAAATTAAATATTCACAATCTTAACCTAAGGCGGAGATTAATATTGAGATGTCAACTTTGTATAACATGACTGAACTTTTGTATTGAACTTTCATCAGTAATATTACATTTATTTTGTCAACGCTTTGTGTATCGGCATGTAAGAAATATAGAAAATTCCATTATCACAACTAACAACTTACAAGTCTGAAAATCATGTCAAGTGACATATCGAGCTCGTTTGATTGAAGACTCTCGTAGTTCTGAATACGAATAATTCGATGAAAGATATTTAAGCATTCGAAAGTACCACTATGCGACTACGTGTCAGTTCTCAGGGCGGGCTCAGTCGGAATCAAATATGAGTGCTCATTATGATAAATAGCGAACTGTACAGTCAGCTACAAAAATGTGCACTGTACTTGTACTGCTTTCAGTTTCAAACGGTTTGGTTTCGGTACAAAACTTTAGAAACTTATAAAGGGCATCGGTTTCAAAAATACGTTTGCACGTATTTCTCATTAGCACGTATTTATAGTCGGAAGAATGCAGACGTATATGTGTATGCATATTTTTGAAACAAAACCATATACATACAAGTTTTGGAAGCTTTGTCAATGTATACATATCAATGCAGCTGACT